GGGGGGGGGGGGGGGTCACCAAGCCATGCATAAATGTTTATCTTACCTTGGTTATCCCGAGATTGATAATGTTTACAAAGTGAAGGGGAAATTGTGGTTATAAGAAAAGAAATGTGAAAGAAATAGGGTGATGGGTATTTGAGCTTATTGTTGACATCCAAAAAGCAAAGAAAGCAAGAAACAAAGGAAATGAATAGAAGATAGAGAAAAGAAAAGGAAAGAAAAAGAGTTGTGAAAAGGCAATGAAAAAAGGGGCAAGAAAAGAAATTAATGAGGTGAGCTAATTCCAAATGAGGAGATGTGATTAGAAAAGTCATAATCTTGGGATAACTCCTTTTGAATTCCTATATTAATTCGTTTCTTTAGCTTAAATTTTCACTCAAGGCCACGCAACAACCGGATAAGGTCCTATTTGATCTTGGGAATTATGGCAAGTGTATGTTCTAAACCATGTAGAGATAGGTTCTAATGTAATTAAAAGCTTGGACATTTTGATTGTTAATGGTCTGACTTTGGATAAATTGATGCATCATGTCCTCTAAGCTTCTCTTATGTGGGGGCTAGTAAGGAGGTACAATGAGTTGTCCATGGGGACCAAACCCTTGTTGAGGTGGGTTTTGAACAAACACTTGTGGTGCATGCATCTAGGATTGAATACTTGTAGAAGAACTAGGACCAGACACTAGTTGGTTAACAGGAGAAGCATAAGGCATGGGGGCAAAAGGCGCAGCTAAGGTGTCATTTTTCCAACTGAAGTTAGCGTGGTTACGCCATCCTTGATTATAAGTATTCGAGTAAGGAGAAAATTATTGCCTAGGTTGATTAAATGCATTCATTTACTCATGGAGCACTTAAAAGTTGATATGGTCGGGCACTCCATAATAGAGTGTTTTACCGACTAACAAATAGTGAAAGTCTCCTCAACTTAAGGCACACTGACCATCTCATTTACTTTACTTACCTCTAGGTTCTCCATTTTCCTAGATAAATGCACAATCTTAGTCAACAACCCATCTTGATCTCTCAAAAATATATTTTTCATCCCTGTGGATTGGGGTTTAGTAGATAGTTTTGATCTTTCAACAGGGTCTGGGATATCCCAAGGTTGGACATTCTATACCAAATTCTCAAAGTAATCTAGCACTTTCTCGAGATTTTTATTGAAAAACTCTCCATTGCATGTCATGGCAATGAACTGGCGATGCGTGGGGGTAATTCCTTCGTAGAAGAAACTAACCAGTTGCCAAGGTTCAAAGTCATGATATGGAACAGCGTTTAAGAGACCCTTAAACATTTCTTAGCAATCATAAAAATGTTCATTTGATTTGTCAAAAAAAAATATTGAAGTTGCTTCTTTAAAGTAGTAGTCCTATGAACTGGGAAAAAATTCTTTAAGAACTCTTTCTGCAAATTAGCCCATGTAGCTATAGTTCAAGGTTGCAAAGAGTTCAGCAAAGATTTTTCTTTATCTTTTAAAGAGAATGGGAATAACTTCATCATCGCAAACTCTTCCAGCACATTCTGTTTAAGGAATGTACTAACCACTTCCTCAAACTCCTTAATACAGAGATAGGATTTTCTCTATCCACACCATGGAATTAGGAAAGTAGCTAGAGCATTTCAGGTTTTACAATTAAATTTTGTGTTTGCATCGAAAGATGGATACAATATGGTGCATAGGTTCGCGTGGATTGAAGAGATTCCCTCATTGTTAGCACAAGAAGAACAACTGGGAGATTATTTTCACCATTTTTCAGATTAATGGTAGGAACTAGAGAAAAATTATTTCCCCTATTCCTCTCATTATATGGATCTTCCTTATTTACTCCCTCCATTTTTTAAATTTTATGTGCGGTCAAGTCTACCAAGTCTGTTGTGTGCAGTGTCTCATGCCCGCATGCAATTCTAAAAAAAGATAAGAAACAGAAGAACATAACTTCAAAAGTAAACTACAGTGGAGAAACATACCTGAGCTTGTGATAAAAATCACAAAACTTACCTTACCATTTGTTCGAATCACCTTTTGAGTTGGCTTTGCTTTCCTCAGCAATAGCGCCAAAATATGCTTGACCTCAAAAGTGGGTAGATAATAAGATGGATTCTTAAGCACATAAATATATCGTTTAGTAACTCGATAGTCTCCTCAAGAAAAACAATTGCAACTCAAATGGTGATGAGTAAAAAGAAAAGTAAAAATCTTTGAACTTTGAAAGTGTTGGAAAAATTGATAAACTAAGAAAATAATATTAAAAGAAAACCAGACAATCTTTAGAGGTCATCTCACCGAAAATAAGAATTTTTGTTTAATCTTATAACTCATCCAAAGTTGCAATCAAATGCCCTTGAACAGAAAATATTCAACTTAAAATTAAGAAAACAATTAATGTGTATTTAAATTGATTGAATTAATTTGTGAAATAATTACAGTCACATTGATTGTAATGATTCCAAGAATTACCAGTGTCAAACCTAATTGTCTATGAATAAGTAAAGAGATATACATATCAACCATGTTTTCAAAATCAATTGCTCAATCAATAAAATAACTTTAACATTATAAACCCTAGTTAGGTCAAATTACCTATTCACGGATGAGAATCTCTCACCCGATCATACCGAAAATTAGCTACTCACTCATTGCAAAAATAAAAGTAAAATCAATTATTGAAGACATAATCATAATCAAAAGAGAAATTGAACTTGAATTGAAATTAGCATAATACATTGTATTGAGATGAAAACTATAAACGATTACAAGAAATAGAATCAACGTACTCCTTGCGAGAATTAAAAGACTAAAGAGAAAAAATACTTCGAAAATATAAAGAAGAAGAAACAACGAAGAACATGTAGAAAACCTAAAGAACGGAACCCTAGTTTCTAAGGTTGGAGAAGAAAAGAAACATGTAAAGAATAAGAAAAGATTGATCCTCTCTTCCTTTCTTAGCTTTGGTATTTATAAGACAAAATTGCTGACTTTTTTCCTTTCCCTTTTCCGCCAATAGGACCTCTTAAAGATCTCCAACTGATATACTTCCCAAAAGAATTCTCGCCGGCCTAAAACACTGATGAATTGGTAGGAATCAAGTCTCGACCTACCGATATAAAAGTTACTATTTCACATGAACTGGTGCGTCTTCACAGCTACTGGTACAATTGTTCGCTATTTTGGATCTACCAATAGGAGAGAAATGGCCTACTAGTAGGAAAGTTTCTGTTTTGATTTAACTGGTAGAATTTCACCAGTAGAACCTCTATCTATTGCTTGATGAACGTATAGAAAACCTACTGGTACAACCTCACTTTTCCTGAATTTCCATAGTAATACTCCTGGCTCAACTCCTAGCTCACCTAACTCATTCCTAAAGTCTTCCAAGACATAAAAATCAATGTAAACCCTTGTCTTTACATCAATTCACCTACAAACACAAAGATTCCCTATAAAACACAAAACTAAACTAAAACAAGATAAATAACAAACAAACAAAGTTAAGATGAATGATATGATACATAAAATATGCAATATTGTGCACTCATCAATGATCTTTATGTTCTAACTTTTCTTTCCTTGAATTGGCAAGACATCGATCTGAGCTGAACCGTTCTTAGGAGAACCATCCCTTCATAACAAGGTTTGAAGGGTTGAGGTGGAAAAGACTCCCGAGCTAACTCCCACTCAAAATTAGGACCTCGGGTCATTACCTCTAATGGAGTCAATCTTCCAACTGCTAATCCTCTTCAGTCGGCCTCTAAGGAGCTTAGTACTGTTACTTCAATGATTATGGAGGTAGTTCCTTTTGTTCCAACAACCACTATTCCTCCAAGGCTAACTTTGACTGCCCCTACTACAGAAGAGAATTCCCTTCTAACTAATGCTTCCCTGGCTAGCACCAAGACGTTGAACATTCTACCTTGGGCAAACATACTCAAGTCTTGAACACTTAGCCCTACTCATGAGGCTACAAATGTTTTTCACAGTCTTGATGCATCATCAACTTTGTCTTAAACTTTCTTTGAGCTTTTGCTTTTACTATTTATTCTTACTCATTGTTTGTTTTTTGTAGTCTATTGTTCACATTAGTGCCCTTGTTGGTCAAGCTCAGAAGTTTGAGAAGTCGTCAGAAAAGCTCAAGGCTAGTCTGGCTTCTGCTTACAAGAAACTTGAAGAACAGATTCGCAGATAGACCAACTCAAGTCTTCAGAGAAGCCTCTTGAAGACAAGTTGAAACTTAGAGAGATAGAGCTAGACAGGATAGTCGGAATTGTAGATGTTGCTAAGTCTAAGAAGGAGAAAACTAAGAAGGAGGTGGCTAAGCTAAAGTTGAAGCTCATGGAGTTGCAGTCAATTATGGCGACAGAGGATTGGATCATTAAAGACCTGAAGATTGATTGTGCTGTGAACTACATTGAGGGTTATGAGGACTTCAAGGACAGGCTAATGAGAAATTTTTTGATCCAGACTTTAACTCTTTTATGCCTCATCTACCTGAAAAAGATAGCTAAAGATGATCGCGAGCGGCAGGTGGCTGGGATTGAGTTGTGCACTTCTGATCCTGACTCCTCGACTGTTCCTACTGTGCCGAAAAGGACTGAGTAGCAGACTAGAGGAACTAATTCTGCAAGTTGAAGGGTTGACCTTCCCCAGGTATCAAGAACTCTTCATGCTTTTCTTAAGAGTTTGTGAATTTATTGTTGTTTTCTTTTCTCTCTTTCTTTGTTTTTTTTTTGAACTTGTAGCTTTTTCTTTTTTTCTTTTTGTAATGGAACAGGCACTTTCCTTTCTCTTCCTTGTGAAAGAGTATTAGCATATCCCTGCCCTCTTCACTTACTGTAAGGCATTAGCCGTGTAGAAGTGATGCCTTTTTAAATAGTTTTAGTGACCAAGTCCTAGGCTTAGTAAGTTAAAACTCAATTAAACTTTGTAAGAGCTGAGGAGGTCTATAAGCTAGAGATGTCATCTTTTGTACGAGTTGAAAGAACTCCAGAAAGGTATGGGCTGAAGAGATTTTATAAGCTGAAAAGCTTATCTCATGTATGAGCTACAGAGCTCTACGAAGGTATGAGCTAGAAAACTCTATAAGGTGAAAGATTATCTCATGTATGATCTAAAGAGCTCTACAAAGGCATGAGTTGAAAAAATTATCTCATGAATAAGCCAAAAAGCCCTACGAAGGCATGAGCTAAAAAGCTCTATAAGTTATGAGGGGTGAGCAGAAAAACTCATACTTAGTATACGAACTTAAAAGCTTCGTCGTGCTCAACACTTAGAAATTTTTTGTGTACTCAAGAATTTGTGTCAAGATTTTTCAAAAATTTCATTAATCTCAAACATTTACAACTATCCTCTCAAAAGAGGTGTTCGCAAAGTTTAAAGTTAGGGGTATCCAACCTGTCATTGTCATTGGTAGAACCTCTTTAGGTGATATACGTTCCATGAGTGTGCCAAGATTTGCCATTCTTCAGTCTGTAACTCGTAATTGCCAGGTCTAACAATTCTTTTCACTATGTAAGGCCCTTCCCGGTTGGCACCTAGCTTTCCCTACCTTGAATCTTTCCTGGCTGGTAATAGCTTCTTTAAGATCAGATCTACTTCCTTGAAGCTTCTGCCTTTGACCCTTCAATTGTATTAAGTCGTTGTTCTTTTTTGGTAAGAGGAGATCCTCTATAACACCTCATTCCTTCTTTAGTCAAGGAGATTGAGGTTCACAAGAAAAGATCAGTCATTCTGGTTACGATTAAAAAATTCAGTTGTGGGAGAAAGAAGCCCGATCTCTACATGAGCTACTTCCTTTGTTCCAAAGGCTAAACTGAAGGGTGTTTTGTTTGTGGCTATTTAAGTGGTCTTCCTGTATGCCCAGAGCATGCTTGGGAGGTGGTCAACCCACTAGCTCTTTGAAGCCTCCAGCCTTGTCTTCAGAGCTTGAAAATTATTTGTATGGGTGACCTCTAGCTAACCATTCGACTAGGGATGGGATGGAGATGAGAAATAATTCTTCATACCAAGCTCTAAGCAGAAGTTTTAAGAGGGTTGAGTTGTCGAACTATTTGCCATTGTCTGATACAATATCTTTGGGGATTCCAATCCTACAAAAAATTGATTTCCAAATAAAGTTTCTGATCTGCTGCTCGGTGATAATTGCAAAGTGGTTCGACCTTAGCCCATTTAGTGAAGTAATCAATTATCACCACAAAAAATTTGCACTGTCCCATTCCAATGGGAAGAGGTCATACAATATCAATTCCCCACTATTGAAAAGGCCACGAGCTCAATATTGATGTGAGATGCTCTAGTGGATAGTAAGGTATGTTCGAATACAATTGGCAGGTCTTACACTTCTTGACCGTTCCTTCGAATCTTTCATCATAATGAGCCAAAAGTATCCTTGCCTCAATGCCTTGTATGCTATAGTATAGGCTCCAGTGTGATTTTCACAAATGTCTTCATGAATCTCTCTTAGAACGTAATCGGCCTCTCTCGTTGTCACACGCTTAAGGAGGGGTGTTGAAAATTCCCTCTTGTAGAGCTTCCCTTGGATTACTGTGAACCATGATGATCTGTTTTGTAACTTGGTTGCTTTTTTCGGATCTTAGGGGATAGCTCCATCTTGTAAGCAGCTAAGAATGGGGTCCATCCAACTTAGTGTGATATTTTTCGGTAAGACCTCCTCCTTATCTTGATCAAGGTGGATACTTGGTTCTTTGTGGTGTTCTATGGGGATGATTCTATCAAGACTTCCCTAGGCTACTGAGGATAACTTGGCTAAGGTATCAGCTCGAGGTACTTGGACGACTTCTATGTTGATGAACTTTTTCAAAAGATCTTGCACAACCTTCACATATGGAGCCATATTGTCCTCCATTGTTTCATATTTTGTCTCGATCTATCTTACCATGAGCTGAGAATCAGTGTGGTTCAAAAGTTGATGTGTTTCCATGGAGTATGCCAACCTAAGTCCAGCTATCAAAGCCTCATAATCAACTTCATTGTTTGAGGACTTGAAGTCGAACCTAAAAGTGTACTCCAGGTCGATGCCTTCTAGAGAGGTCAAGATGATCCCTGCCCCCACTTTCTTGTGCATTGGAGGCACCATCAACAAAGAGTGTCCATATTGGGATGTTAAGAACCAAATCATGCTTCTCTATGACCTTTTCTAGCTCGGAGGTCGAGGTGAACTCAACTATAAAATCAGCTAGAACTTGCCCCTTGATGGTTGTCCTAACTTGACGTGAAGTCAAATTCCCCCAACTCGTTGGCCCATTTGACCAACCAACCTGAGGACTTGGGCTTGTCAATCGAAATCTCGATGGAATAATCTTGGAATTAGGGTATTAACATTCTTGCTACTATTACAAGTGCCAATACAAATTTCTTCTCTGCTCTTCTTAGAGCTCTACTGCAGAAATACACAGACTGTTACACCTTCTCTTCCTCCCTTACCAGGGCTACGTTGATTAAAAAATTTGACACAACTAGGTACAGGGTAAGGACTTCTCCTTCTTGTTGACTGACCAACACTACAAGAAACCTCAGGTAAGTTTTCTAGCCCTGAAAAGCCTCCTCACACTGGTCATTCCATTGAAAAGTTGCCTTGAAAATTTTGAAGAATGGTTGGCATTTATCGCTGGATTGTGAAACAAAAGGTTGAGAGATGTTATTCTCTTTGTGAGATGATGCACCTCTTTGATATTGGTGGGGGATTTCATGATGATCATCACTTTCACCTTCTTAGGATTCATTTCAATCCCCTGTCTATTTACTATGAAACCCAAGAACTTCCTAGCCGAGACCCCGAAGAAGGCACACTTGGCTGGGTTGAGTTTCATCCTTCACTTTTTGAGAATTTGGAATGACTCCTCAAGATGTTGGATGTGGAGCTCTGCCTTAAAGGACTTCACCAACATATCACTGATGTAAACCTCTATAGTTGACCCGAGCTTCTCCATGAACATTCTATTCATTCACTAGTCACTAATAAGTGGCTCTAACATTTTTTAGCCCAAATGGCATGACCTATTAAAAAAAATTTCCTTACTTAGTTGCAAATGAGGTATTGTCTTGATTATCAGGATCCATCTTGATCTGGTTATATCCTAAAAACACATCCATGAAGCTCAAAAGATCGTGACCCACTGTTGTGTCGATTATGAGGTCAATTAAGGCAAAGGAAAACTATTTTTCGGACAGTCACGGTTGAGGTCAATGAAATCGATACACATACGCCATTTTTTCATTAGCATTTTTCGTACGTACCAGTTGGCTAACCACTCAAGGTAATCCATTTCCCTTATTGCTTTGGCATAGAGGAGCTTAGACACCTCCTCATTGATTGCTTTTTGGTTTTTTTGGGCAAATCTCCTTCTCTTCTACTTTACAAGTTTGTAGCTTGAGTCCACACTAAGCTTATGGATGTTCACCTTGGGGTAGATCCCTTGCATATCCTCTTCTTTCCAAGCGAATACATCTAAGCTACTTCTTAAAAATGCCACAAGCTATTACTTGATGCCATTCAATAATCTAGATCCCACAAAGACTATGTTATGGGTCCTCGTCCACTTGTATGGGTTCTAGTTCCTCCGAGAGAGTTGGTCTTGTATCTACCTCATTCCTTATGTCCAAATCATCTACTTGCACAGAAACGACCTCCTTTTACTTCATAAATGACATGTAGCACTCCCTGACCATTTGTTGATCTCCTCTTTCAACCCTACCTGATTCTCAGTGGGGAACTTCATCATGAGGTGGTAGGTAGAGGGAATAGCCTTGACTGAGTTTAGGGATGGCCTCCCCAGGATAACGTTGTAGACAGAAGGTGCGTCTACGATGAGGAATTTTAAGGTAGTAGTGGTTTGACATAGAGGGTCCCACTAGAGTGAGTACGAGTTGAATCAAGCTTCTCCTTGCCAATACTTAACTTCTCAAAGGCCCCTAAGAATATGATATCAACAGAGCTCCCATTATCCACGAGCATATGATGAACTATCTTGTTCGCAATGATTGTCTTCACGACTAGATGGTCATCATGGGGGAGTTGACACCCTCGAGATCAGAGTTTGAGAAAGTAATTTCGAGGCCAAGGTGGTGAGCCTTCTATACTCTTTGAACGTTAAGGAGGTCTTCCATCCTGACATTCCTCACATGGGCCTTCTTGGATGAGCTGGATTCTCCACCCCCTGCAATGCCTCCAGAGATTATTTTAATTTCACCAAAAGCCTGCTGATGTTATTACTGTCTTTGCTAGGACTTCTCTTGTGCTCATTCTTCGCCTTCTTGAGCAACGAAGCACCTAAGCTGCCCTTTTTGTATTAGAAACTTGATTTTCTTCTTGAGCTGGATGCACTTGTCGGTATCATGACCATGATCTCGATGGAAGTTACAATACTTGGTGTGATCCCCCTTGCCAAAGTCTAACTTCATCTTGAATGGCCATTTGATGTACCTCTCATTATGAACCTGGTGTAACACTTGAGCTACTGAGTGATTGAGTAGAATGACTCACTCAAGTGCAAACTAAGGTTGCATAATAGGCTATGGGGGTCTCAAACGATCTATTATGTCTCTCCTTTTCTTGGGGGATTGATATCTTCCTCTTCTAAGTG